AGTATTCTGGATTATTCAAATGGGCCAAATGTCACCACAAGAGTTCTTAAACGATGGAGGAGGGAAGCAAAAGAATCAGAGTCACAATGATAGGGATTGAGAGGGCTTCTCCCAGCCATTTCTGGCTTTGGAGGTAGAAGGAGCCAAGGAAGGTGGGAAAACTTCTGGAAGCTGGAAAAGGCAAGAAAGCAGATACTCTCCTAGAGAACGCAGAAGGAATGCTGTCCTACCACAGCGAGGCCCATGTCAGACTGGGCCCTTGGAACTGTAGGATAATACATTTGTTTTGTCTTAAGCTATCAAGTACATGTACTTTGCTGTAGCACCATTAGAAGCAAATACGCCACCCCAATCTCTCCCTTTCTCTCAGAACCTCAGGATCAAATCGTTCGTCCCTCCCTCTTTGATGCACCTCCCTGTACTTTAAGTATCTTGCCGACTAGGAGATTCTTTTGTAGCCCTGAGACATAAATGCCTAATTCTGATGATTTAGTAGGGCTTACTTCTATCAACAAAACACATTTAAATACACATGCCTATATGACTTCACTGTTTCCTTTACAGAGCCTCTAATCAACTTTACTTATATAATTTTACAAAATAAATTTCCCTTTACCAGTAGAATAAAGCTCCCTCCTGACCAATACTACCTATTACTGACACCACCTGACTGATAATTATCATACTGATGTTTGCTGTTTGCCTTGATTCAGACTTCAGGAATTTCTGCCGAGAATTTCCTGCTCTTCTCCTAATTCATTCTCCGCAGGCCCTCCTGATGTTTGCCTGGAAGCTGTGGAACCAGGTCCCATGAACAAATCCACTCATAACAATCACTCCAAGGCCTCATCTTAGGCTCTGAACTCGGGTGGTTACAAAATCCTGCCTTGGGCCCTCAGTCTTTTTCTTGAATCAACATGATAATTAAATCTCACCACCTCCTCACCTACTTCTCTAAAAATGTTCCCAAATCTCTCTGCAAGAGCCCTGGCCCAGAGCCTGCATTTCATCACAGTTTGAATCACCACACAACACTTTTCACTTCCTTCATAGTTTTCTGACCTTTTGATTCTGCTGCCTTGAGCCACATCCATCGCCTCATGAAAGTCTAAGGAAAGGGAGGGGAGGAGGGAAGGAAATGTGACTTTTCTATGCCTGTGTTCTACTTCAGAAAAATCTATTTCTGGTTTTTGTAAATGTGTCCCCCTGATTTGTAATCAGCTGGTTAAAAGAGGCCCTACCTTTGCCTTTGGCTGCTGAGTAGAGGTCTTTCATTTGAGAAACAAAGCCACCTGAGGCTGAGACCATTGCCATGGACAGGTCAGGCATCCTGGGAGGACAGAGGGTCACAGCTAAGACAACTGCATGCCTTATCTCAAATCTTGACAAGTCATGGATGCCCAAATGTCTCCTAGGAGACCCCTGTACACCATTCATAACTCCAGCACTCTGGAGAACCTCAACAAGCCTATCACCCTCTCAGCAGGATTTTCCTGCTGCTGCTAAGTCTGTGTGCTCACCTGTGTGAAGAAGGCAGGTGGCTGAGTGTCCCCTCATAATCTAACCCCAGTTTGTTCTTGTATGCTCTCTGACTGGTCCCTCCCAAAAAAAGATATGTCCTAGTCCTAACCCTTGGAACCTTGAATGTGACCTCATTTGGGGAAAGAGTTGTATATATAACTAAAGATCTCAAAATGAGATCATCCTGGATTATCACAAGAATCTTAAACCAAATAACACATTAATATCAAAAAGAAAAGACACACACATAGAGGGGAAGACCGCATGAGACAGAGAGGGATTGAAGTCATGCAGCCACTGGCCGAGGAATCCCTGGAGCCACCAGAAGCCAGAAGAAGCAAGGAAAGACTCTAAGGCCCCTGAAGAGAACAGGTCTTGCCAGTTTCTTGATTTCAGGATCTGGCCTCCAAAACAGAATATAAATGCCATTATTTTAAGCTACCACATTTGTGGTTGTTACAGCAGTCCCAGGAAATGAATCTATTCCTCAATATGGAACCTCATTTTTTTCCAGGAAGAATTAAGTTAGCCCAAGTGGCTTGCTGTCGTGATTGACTCACAGCCTGGTCCTTCCGGCCAGTGTCCTTGCTGAGAGCCCCCTTGCCTGCTCATTTTGCTGAGATGCTGCAAAGCTCCCCGACAGAGCCCTGCCAGGCAGGATGCGTAGCTTGCAGGAGACTCACCGGACACATCATGTGCCTTCACTGTGCGTTGTGGTTTCCATCCTATATTTCATATTTGTAGAGATTTTCAAGACTGTCAGATTATAACCTATGGGCCAAATCTATTTCATTCTCTATATTTGCAGGTGAACAATTTATTGAAACACAATCACAACAGAAGAGCTGAGTAGTTGCAACAGATACTAGATGGCCAACAAAGCCTAAAATATTTACTACATGACCCTGAAGGCAAAACTTACTGACCCCTGCTTAGATAAAAATAGATGGAAAAGGAAAGACTGCAGATCTTTTGTTTGAAGCCCTAGGGAAAAAACTGTCAAGTTGCCCGTGATCTGACCATGAAGCCCATCGGCTGATAATCTCTGTTCGTATGCACACTGAGCCTACACACAGGTCTCAGAACTTCACTCTTGAGCACAAAGTTGTTCCAGATATGTGAGGAAAGCTCCAGTGAGAAAGAATATACAGTAATTCACATAAACAAACCGAAGAATGGTCTTTGGAAGAACCAAAAGCAATTCAACAAATAGAAGAAATTCACAATAAAAATATAGAATTAATATCCTCTGAGGTATGAGAAGATATTTTATTTATAAAACAGAAAACTATACCCTGGGAGGCTGATGCAGGAGGATTGCAAGTTCAAACCCAGAGATGTTATAGTTTTTGTCTAGATGTCCCTCCTACCACAGCCTCATGCAATCACAGGTAGGGCTTTTTCAAGGGTGATTGAATCTGGAGTGTGTGATGCTGGGATTAAAGGTATGTAATTATTAAATCTGTCCACTGATTGGTTTGGCACTGCCATAATCCCAGTACTCTAGATAGCGTATAAAAGGGGGAGAAAAAAAGCTGCTAAGGTCTCTTGCTTGCTACTTTCTGCCCACCACAAACTGTTTTCCTCTGCAGTACCTCTCTGCTATGTGCCATCCCACCTTGGAGCCAGCCATTTATGGACTGAAACCTCTACAAACTAAATAAACCTTTCCTCCTTTAACTTTGCATGTCAGGTATTTTGTCTCAACAATAAGAAAAGTAACTAAGTCACTAGGCAATTACCTTTTCTCAAATAAAACAAAATAAGAAACTACTATGATTAATAAGAATGAACTCTGGAAACACATCCACACATTTGGAATGATATCCACTTAAAAAATAAATAGGAATGGGTTGAAAGACAGTTGAATGAAAAGACAAGACGATAAAAAATAGTAGGGAAAATTGGATTAACAATTCAGTATGTCCAATATTTAACTAAAAATGATTATAGAATAAGAAAAAAGAGAAATGGTAGGCATGAAATTAGAAAAGAAATAGCATAAAATTTCTGGGAAATATATTTTTACTTATTGTATATCATGCCAAACACAGTGCCAAACCAGCAAAGGGCCATCATAAAATTCCAGAGCACTCAAGCAATAACGGGAAGATTCCAGGTTGTCAGGAAGAAAAGAAACTGACAACAACACCAACAACAAATCGAAATGGACCCAGACTTCTCAATAGCATGAGTACCAAAAATGTGAAACAATACCTTCACGGGCTTGAAGTAAAATGGTTTTTAACCTACAGTGCTATGTGTCTGTCAACTATGGAGATAAAATAAAAGTATTTGTAAACCTGAATGGACTCAAATATTTAATTCTCAAGTATCCTTTCTTTAAAAAGTACTAAAGGTTGTAAACCAGGGAGTAAAACCAAGAGCCAGACATGGAATCCAGGAAACAAGGGTTCAACACATAAGTGAGGGAAGTTCCAGGATGACAAGAGCAAACAGTTCAGATTAGAGCAAGAGGACTAAAGGCTGTGGAAAAGAGGACTTCTGAGAGGAGAGGCAACAGAATTGACTGACCAGCCAATATACTTAAGATGTAAAAAAAATTCTGCTAGATGTTTTACAATTTCTTCTAAAAAAATTAGAAAAAAGTGATATGTACTAAACTGAGTAGCATGTCAGGTTAAAAAATATAGGCATTGATTTAGCGAAAATTGTTGTATAACTATATTTGAAAAATCATTGGGGAGCAGGGGCTGGGGGATAGGTGGCTACTGAATAGAAAGTTAAATGCTTGCCTAAAATTGATAAATCAAAAGCAGTTGCAAAAAAAAACTAATGTAGAAATATAAAGGTAAATTCTAGAAGGAACAGAAAGTTGATACTTCTGCAAGAAGGAATAAAAGAAACCAATCATTGCTTTTGCTTATTTTCACATATATGAGTAATCAGTACAATTTAATTGATTGTTTTAACTATATTTAGATTTGCAGTGTCTGTCAGATTGACATAGGCATTAAATTATAACCAAATAAACCAAGTTTGTTTTAGAAAATTGCTTATGTGAACGCCTTGTGGTCTTCAGAATTTGAAAAATCTTTACAAGAAGGAAGTGGAACAGCAGACAGGCAGCCTGCTGGAACTGTAGTACAGTATCTTTCTGAGTGCCCCAGATGCCTTGAAAGCCGTAGACTTTGGGTGGGGGGGTGATACACAAGCAGGTGTGGACCAGTGTATCAGTAAGGCTGGCATAAGCAGAGGTACACTGAGGTCCAGTAAAGAGTTAAGCCAGGAAAGAAAAGATGAGAGTCCCATGGGCACGGTGAGTACAACAATGCAAAACCAGGATGTTCATAAGACGAGAACAGGAGATGTGAAACTCATATTATTTATCAGAAGTGGGATTGGAAATATGTTTTAAATTTAGAATTACATGGAGTTAGCTGTTGTATGTGTGCAAAAGTGAGTTAAAGTGTTCACAGGAAATCAGCAGCATCCTTTGCTGTGCTTCCCTCCCACAGCTTAATTGCTTACACGGAACAGTATGTGGAATACGACCCTTTCATCACGCCAGCAGAGCCATCTAATCCCTGGATCAGCGATGACATCACTTTGTGGGACATAGAGATGAGGTAAAACAAAATGTTTTAAAGTTTCAAAGTATTAAAGATGTAGGAAAAAATCTGTCTTATTACTCTGTCCCTAGGACAGAAACCCCCAAGTCACTTCCGTCCTAAGTTCTACTTGCTCATGGTTTCCACCTCCCTATAGCTTTGGCTTGAGCATGGATCATCGGTGGCTCCCTGCTGCCCTTCATACGCCATGACAACTGGGACAGCCCTCACCATTTCCCAGTTCAGGTGCAGTCATACTAGCTAGCACTTTCTCTGTATGGCCATATCACACAGAAAGTGTTTTCCTCTGTATCCCCTCAACAGGAAACAGGACTATTCTCACCATAGAGCAAATGAGGAAACTGAAGCACAGGGCAGTTAGTGAACTTGCCCAAAGCCACAGAGCTGGCAGTTAGGACTAGAACTCAAGCAAGAGGGCCCCAGAGCTGTGGTCTCCATCAGTCTCCTCTCCTGCAGTAAGTGGCATCAGTAACTCCATCTTCCACTCGCTCCCGTCCTACGAGGGAAGTGGATGTGTTTACTTAGGAGCTGTAGAACCAAAGCCCAGAAGGACCTCAGCCACTTTTAAAATTACAGAAGAAGACACCCGAACACCTCTGCCCCTGGGCTGGACCCCTTTTTCTTTTTTCATTTCTATCATTCTCACATCCTCTTTCTCTGTTGCTGACTTCCTGACATCTTTCCTGGGAATTGGAAAACCTTATAAAAACTAATAAAAGTAATAGATACTTATAATGAATAGTTCAAACTATCCAGATGCACATAAAGAAGGAAATCCTCTGGCCAGAGATTTAGCTCAGTGCACCTGCCTTGAAGTACAAGGACCTGAGTTCAATCCCTGGTACAAAAAAAAAAAAAAAAAGTAGCCTGATTCCTTGGCTCCCAAGTGCACCAGTGCACCTGGGGCACTTCGAGGGCCTCCTGGCACAGTGTGAATGGAAACACAGCAGTGACTGACACTTGTCAGAGACTGCATGGTACTGGCACAGGGTCACTCGGTGTCGACATCAGAGTACACCCCATCCTTTCTGATGATGTCACATCTGTGCAAATCTAGGTTTTCAGAACTATTTCTGTGATCAAAAATTAATAATATGGAATAGGCAGTGTGGTAGAGTCCAACATGCTTCCAAACTTTAGAAAATATTCGGTGCCCAGCAGGTGACTGCATGTTGTGGTTAAAGAAAGAAATAAAGATAATCTTGGCAAGGTATGTGCATTTCTCACATCTACTATATTGCTGGGGCATAAATACATATTAAATTTTTGATCCTGACCTTAATAAACAAAATCATTAGGTACTTCTTCTGACTCAGGGATACCATGAAACACTTAATGAGACACTAAGGGTCCCATGAACTCACAAAGTTGGGAATCTCTGCTTGAATGTCTACCCTTTTAGATTTTTATGCATATAAAATGTTCTACTCTTTAGCATAACTGGATTCATTATCCATATATTGTCCAGGATTCTTAATTAGCAATACATCATGAGAGTCTTTTCACGTAGACATCTATCCGTATCCTTTTTAAATACCTACCTAACACTCCTGGTATGAGTGAAGAAACATTTATTTAACCAATCCCTCGATCATAAACATTGAAGTCATGTCTTTTGTTCTGTGATGGGGCCTGGGAGGCCCAGTTCTGCTAAGGCCAATAGGAAGTAGCAAGCAAACTACAGAATCTTGATAGATCTCCCTGCATTGCTGAGATGTCTTTCCCCTCTCTGTCTGCGGGATGCCCCTAGACCCAGCAGAGGCACTACCCTCTGGTCTTATTGCTAGCATTAGGAGCTGGGCAGAAAACACCCCCTCCCCTTTACTTAGGAAAGCCTTTCTGCCATATAGAACCTGGTCCATATCTCTGAGTTTCTTCATATGCCCCCTATTTAATGCTCACTCACTGCCTCTGCTTCCAGTCCCACTGCTCAGAGTTTAACATGTTCCCTATCTAGTTCTTCATCCCTGCATAGGCTGTTCCTTGTTCCTGTAACTAACGGTGCTCTGCAGAGTTCTGCTATTATTGCTCAGGCTCCTGCTGTAATCTAATGCTTAACCTAAGGGACATATGGGGTCCCAGCCACCAAGCAGAGTCAAGTTACATAGATGCAAGTGAACAGGAAGGCCTAGTTCTACTCCAGACAAAACATTCTTCCCCACTCAGGCTGGCAGTGGTACTGGGAGAAGCACAGTGTGGGATTGGTGACAACATCAGGCTTCAGCCTAGGGACAGTCTCATCCATGAAATAAAGGCTGATGAGGACTAGTAAAAAATTAAAAGTCATTTTTCTCAGTTTCAGTTTCATTCAGTGCACATGGATCAAAACCCACTTTGTGCTGTGTTCTCAGCAAGTTCTTGGTGTGAAAGGTGTAAAATGTTGCAAGATAGTAAAACCTGCTATCTTACCACCTGGCACCAGATTTTCTCCTTGCTTAGCAACAGGCATTAAGACACTCAGGCCAGAAAGCAGGCCTGGCAGATTAGGGTGTTGGCAGGTTCAAACAACAAGGGGAGGAGGCTATGTTCTGCCAAAGGAGAAAAGGAGACCAGTGTACCTTCTATTCCTGAAAGGGCAGAGAGAAGGAGGGAAGGCTGAGGGACCAAGATGACGGAAACCAGCCTCTGTGCAAGACAAGGAAAATTCTAGCACCAGTGATCAAGGACTTTTCAAAAGCAGGAATGTTGAGGATGAGCCTTTAAACAGGCTGCCTGGAGGTGCAGTAATGGGGTCTTTTCTCAAGACCCTGAAGTTCAGGTCAAGGCTTTCACTCCGGCCTGAGACAATTCATGGAAATGAGGGTACTGGTGAAGATAAGTCAAGCTGTGAGCAAGAGGGGAAGCAGCATGAGAGAGGATATCACTCCATGGGGGATTTGCAGTAACTTGAGCGATGCTTTAGATTTCTGCTGGCCTGCAAAGGAGTCCAGGCAGAGGACAGCACAGAAAATGTCTGGGTTCTCCAAGGATGAAGGGGATGTTGTCCTCCATGGGGAAGTTTTGGAAACCCAGTGGAGGATGTCAACAACAGTTTAACAGAATAATGGACAAAAGGGCATAGAATGTAACGTAACATAAACAGAAGAAAATGGTTCTTGAATCCCTTCACCTCCTCAGGCAGATATTAGATCCAGAAATTCAAGAATAAGACCAGTACATATTCAGAAGGAAAGGAAGGCTACCATTTTAAAGCCTGAGCAAACTAAACCTCAAGTCTACCCATTCAAAATTCTGAGAAATAAAGTTTTAATTAAAAAAAATAGTGATAGCCAATGCTCACCATTCAGGGAAAGATCAGCCCAAAGTTGCCAGATCACAGCTGAGGAGAATTTTTCAATCTAAGCATCACCAGAACAGTGTCTCAGGGAGGCCCGTGGCAAATGTTTCTGGTGGTGCCATTAACCAGGTGGTGGAGCCTAATGAAAACCTGGGTTGCCAGCAGAATTGCGGATTGTGATTTGCTCTCCCCACATGACAGGTTTATCGCTCCCTCTCCACAGTGTATCAGGCACATAAGCAAAAAGGAAGCCAGCTTGTTGTCCTCCCAGCCAGCTCAACTTGGTGAGAGGAAGAGGTCATCCCTAAGCTGCCAAGCAATGAGTTTGGCAAAAGTATCAATTCAGTCTATTAGTCAAGCTTTATTTTTTTAATGGCTGCCAAACAGGTGCTGCCCCTTATATCAAGGGGAGGAAATACCTCCTCCTCTTTTTTTTATCAGGACTGGGCTTGGTGTCTTATTTGACTAATAAATTGTGGCAGAAGTAACATTCTGAGAACCAGTTGGTCACTTGAAAGATTTGCTCCTAAGTCATTCCTTCTTGGAACTCATACGCCCACGCCACTGAAGAGGCCATGTGCAGACAGACACAGCCTCAGCTGAGCTCTTGACCAACAGCCAGCACCAGCTGCCATGGGATGAGCCCTGTGGGACGTCCAGCCCAGACAACCCACAGGTGTCCACTGCCTTCCAACTACAACTATGTAAGAATGGCCCTGTTAAGCTCAGTCAACCTACAGGATAGTGAGAACAAGTACAAGATGTGATTGTGAAATATAAATGTTTAATTTTTAAAATTAAGTTATAATAAACAACATTTCCATTAAACCCTTCAAAATACTCCCCTAACATATCTCATCATTCTTTCCACTGTAGTGAAGCAGTTCCGGAAGTCTTCTTTGGTGACTCTTTAGTTGCACTGGTGTGGCTGCTTCAATGTCCTGAGCAAATTCAAACATCTACCTTTCATAGTCAGTTTGGCCTTGGGAAAGAAGCAGGTCCCCAACCCAGTAAATAAGGCAGATAAGGATATACCACAATGTTTTTATAAGCCTGCCTTTCACTTGGATGGCACTCAGCAGCAGCAACCCTGTGTCTTTTAATATACCTAGTAAAGACATTCATGAAAGAAGTCTCCCAGAACCACTTCAGAAAGTTGTAAGAATAATTGGATAAGACTGTCTGAAGCAATGGAAAGTATTTTAGAGGGACTAATGGATGTGTCCTTTATACTGTAATAAATTTTTTTAAAATTAAATATTCACTGTATATTTTGATCACATCTTGTTTTAAGCAATTTGTTCCACATTAATAAATAACTAGACCATTCTCTTTGGAGAATACAGGTCCTTCAGGTTATTCTTGAAGTATTAAATAAAATTAAAATTAAATAAAGCTGTGACTTTTTCTTTATAGCATTGGCCCTGAGATGGGTTTCATTGGATATTCTTCCCTAAAGAACGATTTGTTGTTTCATAATGTTTCTAATAACTTTTCTTGATATATTCAGGCTTATCAACAAAATTAACTCATTTCTCACAGTTCTGCAAGCTTGGAATGCCAAGACCAAAGCACCAGCAGATTTGGTATGTGGTGAGAGTGAACATCCTGGCTCACTAGTTACAGTCTTTTCGCCTCATCCTCACATAGAAAAGAGGCAGGAGAGTTTTCTGGAATTTCTTTTAGAAGGATACCTGATCCCATTCTCCATTACCTAATT